TTAAGTTACGAAGGACTGCGGGAAAACAGCTAGTATCTAAATACCCCGAGACATAATGTATATTAGTAACAGAAAATTATTTTCAACAACAATAATTTTGTATTTTTTAATATTTGTCATTCTATTGGTGACCATATTGATAACAAACTATATTAATAAGGTAATATAAATAAAATTTAATGTTTGATGACAATTTAAAACCATAGTTTTTTTTTCTGAAATGTTGTTATAATTATATTATAAAACAATTAAAATACGAATGTGTAACTGATTCCTTTTACAGTCAAAATATGCAACTTATAAAAAAAGTATTATATATATTTCTTTTTCTCAAAGCTTTCGTTTTGCCTTTTCTAACAGTACTTCTGACATTCACGTATGCAAACAGGCCGTATAAACATAATATTTTTTCCCCATCTTTGATAAACATTTCTCAACAATTCATCGTAATACATCGTCGTTATTCGTTTACACAGCTTAAGATTGTATGCCGCTGATGTATCCGAACACTCTTGCTTTGTGTAGAATATAATATTTTGGGATGTATGTCGTATTTTAAGACGTATTCAGCTCACGTTGGCGGTCCTTCGTAATGACAACGGGAAAGCTTGATACTTCAGAGGAGGGAGGCGTTTTCCCCAAAACAAAATAAGCGACTACATCTAACAATATAAAGTTATATTTATGTATATTTAAAACAATTATGGGTTAAAAATTGTTTTTTTAACCCATAATTTTTAAAAGAGGTTAAATCATTAATTAATCATGTTAAAACATTATACACTAAAATGTTCAACGTTTAAAAAATATAGCGCTTTAATTTATTTTTCATAAAATGTATTTTACAACTAAAGGTGATAGATCCTCTACCTACTTTTTGTAAATTTTGCTAATAAATAAGTCGAAACATACTTATGTATAAAGTTATTTTGAAATAATAGTAACTTTTACAAATTCGTTGAAATTAATGTCTCATTGATATTGATTGATGGTGGTAGTGCGCATTTAAGTGGTCCATAACCGTTTACCGACTAATGAAAATTTGTCACAGTTATCGCTTACACACCGCATACGATCCCCATCTACCAATGTAAATGTCCTTCCCTTTGAATCACCCTATCTCTTAAAAAAACCACATCACGTTGCCTAGTTTTAATGATTTAAACATAGGGACGAACAGTCGTAAACCGTTTTGTTTTATACTATGAATTTTTATTATTTTTATTACGTTAACCTATTTCTTTTTAAATTAGTTACCTTACCATATAGTTTATGATTATTAATCCAAACAAGCAACATATCGTATCTCCTATGTAGTGAATATGATATTCCCCTAAGGCACATTCACAATAAGTGGCAATTCTAAATCGAACCCTTAATTTGAATATTTGTGTGTGTTTCCTGTTAGATCCCAGTTTAAAGTCGATCCCTGCCCAGCCGTAAATAGTGTCAAACCTATTTTCCGGTTTCTGTGGTGTAGCTTCCGTATTAATTGTATCAATTATTGGCGCAAGATAACTAACTACCTACAAATTTTCCGTAAATCCACATGCAATGGTTATTGTCATAGCGTAATTTATTATAACAAGTTATCTAGTCTAATATATTCTTGCTAAAGGAAACGATAGCTTATTGTAGTGGGATAAAAATCTCGACGGGTCTGCTGTGCAAATGTTTAGCAACTTTTGGAATGTCCGGTTACAGAATGGGTGACCAAAATTTTATTTTATTGATTTTCTCTGCGTATATGTTAAACTGTCGGTCCCGGTTGTATATACAGTCATTAAAACCCATTGGTCACGCGTGGTTGTTATAATTAGTCGTCTATATTAATTCATATGTCCTATGAATCCTAATCATAGGTGAGGCCTGTGCTCCAGTAGTAGGGATATTATCAGCTGCTGATAAAAGGATATTACCCTTACTAATAAGAAAGATATAATCGTTGTTTAGATATAAATTACTTTGTTCACGTTATTTCAATGTGACTTTTAGCTGGAGTGAATAAGACAAATTTTCTTACACATCGTTTATTAGTAGCAAGCTCATTCACGAGCAAATAAAATGTCACGTCACGATGTTTATTCCGAATGAAATTATAATTAATCTTCTTAATATGCAAAAATTGGGAATTAACTCCCGCTGTCGCATGATAACGGTTGCTGGTGCTATCTGCTTCTAAATAAATACAATTGGTAAATTACACTTAAATATCCTATAGATATTGTGCTGATCCTTAATTTATGTATACTGTTTTATTCATGTTCTTGTAAGACGAGCTGTGGATCCAGCACCTCTACCACGCAGAGCTGACGCACTTTCAGAATCAGAACTTAAGTTCCTACTAGCTAAATAAAATAAATACAAAGTTGGGTTGTAAAAATATACGTGAAAATTTTTATTGACAACAAACAAACAGATAGCAAAAGTCACACGTCACCGTCACATATTAACTTTCGAATGTACGATGGCCAGCAACTAAATTGGATAGAACCTCCAACAGTTCTGACATATATAATATTTATAAGTAAAAATCAATATATAATACTTATCAAATTCACAATTTAAATTTTGCAAATCTGATTAATTAGATGAAATATTACTACCCAATATAATACTTGTCACATTTGATAATATATGTAAAATGCAATTTTAATTTAGAATATCATATTCAAGTGTTGCTATTGTGTGAGACCGTGCTAGTTCTCCGGGTAAAGGCAGAAAATTAGCGCTTTGCTTCCTGAGAAAAGGAATCGTTGAGCTTTCAATTTGTGCATTGCTGCGGCGCACACGTTAAATCCGACTTTTTTTTTAATTTCATTTTGTTTTTATTGTAATCAATTTATAATTCATGAGTGCTGATTATGTGATGCAAATAAATGAATTATCTATTTAATTAACTCCACAATTAATAAACCATATATCGATGATGTTTTGTATATTGGATAATTCTGTCCAAGAATAATTTTCGATCTTTACTAATGACAAATGGAAAATTCTTGAATTACAGGGCATGTGGAGGGAGTTGAACTCGTAATCTTTGCTAATACGGCTCACTGTTCAAAATAAAATTAATATAAATATTAGACAACACATCCTTTACTCCTATTTCGAGTAGCCACTTATTATAGAGTATTGGAGACAGCTATCACAACACTCAGACCCGAGACAATACATATAGAAAAGTCCAATTTTTAAATTGATCCAAAAATGGCGAAACCTTGAAACTGGCGTGACTTCGTAGTCGACTGTCGTTCGTTGTTTACTGTTCTAAATATATCTTTAAACTATTTTTCTATAAATGGAGAAAAATGTAAGAAAGATAACTTAATATTCCCAACAAATTGTTAAATTAATGTAATCCTGGTTTCTTCTTAGGGTTCTGCACTCAAAACGTAAAAACTGAACCCTTTTACTAAGACTCCGTCTGTCTGTCCGTCTGTCACCATGCTGTATCTCATTAATCGTGATTTAATATTCAAACAGTACGAACTGAATAAAACTAATATTTAATTAAAAAACGATTTGATTGTTTGCATTTTTGTTGTTTTTTTTTTAAGTAAATACATTGATTTATTAGTTAACTGGAACATTTACGATCAGAGCAAAGTATGTTTTTCTGTGTATGCCTCTTTGAATACAAATGGGATCCCTTAAAGTTTTGGTTGCCTAAAACAAACCGTTGAATCAGACGGCGATCCAAACTTCCTGTATCCTGATAATGGACACGTAAACAATCATAAGTATCACAAAATCCTCACATAGAGTAAATAGATTTATTTTATACATTTCGTTTATAGTACAAGAGCTCGTGATTAAAATTTACAAGATTTTTATAATAATCGATACTTTTTTATGTGAAAGTACAAGAGATATCAGTACCTAGGCTGGAACGACTGGTGGATCCGGTGCAATATGAAGAACTTAAAATGGTTATATGCATTGAAAATGCTTCGTAATTAACAGTTACATTATTAATTAATAGAGTAACAGCGAAGAACGTAACGTCTCCGCGTTTCACTATTGTGCGATCTCAGAAGTTTGTATGAAATTAGTTGTGAAAAAGATTTCTCTAATGGCTGAATATTAATTGATTACTAAATTATTACTAAAGAGACTTAAAAGAGACACTTGTATTTAGTGGAAAAACAAATTTAGTCAGAAGTTTAACACTAGATGTTCATCCCGTACCCGACCTTAGTACTTCCATATTCTAACACCTGATGCGTTAGAAAACTACTGCACATTTTTGTCACGAGCTCTCGGCCTATTAATATCTTCGTTATCATCAAATATTAATCATTTATTGTTTTCAATACTCTTGATATAGAAACACTGAAAAAAGAATAATAACAAAGCATAGATCACAATGTGGACTGGTGAGTTCTCTGTTTAATATTGCTTAATATTACAGGACTGAAGCTGTCGTTAAAGGAGAGTTTTTATATAATGTAAAATCGATAGAGTTGATAAAGTTTTTTAGATATTAAAACGATAAAAATATTCATGAATTCATTGGATAGATGAGAGCAAAAAATACGATATTATTTTCAATATATAATTACTAAGTAATTTCAATTTAGGTCATTCTCTTTGTAACAATTATTATCAAAAATGTAATTATCGGATAATACACAATAAAGTATGATTTGATTACATTGAGATAAAATATCCAACAATTATCAAAATTTTGTATTTATATTTAGGTTGGTGATAATGATATAGTACTAATACTTTACTACATTTTGAATGAACATAATACAATTTCCTATTATTATAGGCTTTACTTATATTTTCTTCAAGTACTGCCCTCTTTTGTATATTTTTTTCATAGAGGTTAAATAGATTATTTTACGTTCAATGCTATTAGTGTCAAGCGTCACAGAACACTTACATTGTTTAATGAAGATGAAATTTTAAATTAAAAAAAGGGGTTGGTATTTCGGTGGGTGTTCCGAAGGCGGAACGGCGAAAGCTCCGCGTTGTATGTATGTGGAGCCATTCTCGCGCTGTCATTCGTGACGTCCGCACGGCTCGACTCGGAAAGGGCGCAGGCCGCCTTCGTGCAAACTTTACCGAACTTCTACGAACTAAACGAAAAAAGTTCGCTGTGTTTTCTGAACGAAAATTGGATGCAATCTGTGAAGTTCGCTCAGTGCCGTGACAGAGTTTTGTGCATTTGAAAAAGTTCGATTACTGTTTCATATATGAATATTTTGGACATGCTAATGATATGACGGATTTTTAACGCCGGATTTAATGGGTGAGTCATCATTTCAATGATCGGTTTTCTCTTGCTTTATAAAATGATTTATTTGCAAGTACGTGTTAGATTAACGATTTATTATTATTTTATTTGTAGACGGTTTCTGTAATTTAAATTACACAAACTGTCTTCATGTCTTAATGTTTATTATATATTCTAAAGTTGATTTGACCGTTAAAAGAATATTTTACAAAAATTATTCAGAATAATCATTCTCATTTTACAATTGAACATTATGTTTCAAATTGATATATAATACATTAATGAGATATTTATAAAATTAATTTCGTTCATAATTAGCCTATTAATGTAGAGCACAAGCCTTCCCAATGGATGGATGAAATCGAATAGGTAGGAAGAATGGGCCATGACCCATCACGCGGGCCCAGTGTGGATGAGTGGATGTTAATGACTATAGATGATGCAGGAATTCAACGGCTTAACGTGCTCTCCGAAGTACAGAGGAGTTTGAGATATTTTATTTTGTTCACCCATCTTATGACCGGCCCGGCTTTATGCGAAAGTTGCTTAACAATTGTATCGTAGACAGAAACCTCTAACCATTGTCCTATTCAGCTTTCGTTATTTATTATTGCGATTTATATAGTATTAAGTTAATTAAATTGCCAGGCCGTATTGATTAAAGTAAAATAAATAACTTATAGGTATAAATATTTACATCTCACAATGAATATGATACGTATAACATGGGGAAGTTCACGTAATAAATATGAACTTCTAAAGTAATTAATTAATTACACATTTTGGGTGCGAAGGGTGAATCTATAAAGTGCTGTTTGCTTAATATTTAACAAATATATAATAAATTATATTTCATTATTATAATTTTTTTATTAGTTCAATAAATGTTTAATGTCTATGATATGCCGAACTATGTCTATGATATGAAGAACAAAAACAAAAAGAACAAAAATGTACCTAGATATAAAGTATAATTCTGGGTAATTATTTTCTTTTTAAATTTATTAGAAAATAAGTTCCTCATACCAGTTCGCAAAGCTATTCAATGTCGATTAAAACCTATTTTGAAGTGTAATAAAGTTTATATCTGATTGAACCTTTAATACTGTGAGAACGCTGTTTTCAATGCATTTTTTTACAGAATACCAAAGTTGAACTACCAAAAGCTTTTTGATAGTCTGAAGTATGCCGATGATTATTCTATAAAAATCACGGCGACGTTAATACACCATATTTTATTAGTGTATTCTTTTGATTTAAATCTCTCTCTATTGAATGAATAATGTAACTATTATACAATACTATCTCATACTGCAGATATATTTTCAAACAAGCTTTTTTGGATATTATATTGGACCACATAATTTATATACACAAATCAAACGAACTCAAAGTCGACAGCGTTTGTTATTTCACTACAAAGTACCTATTGCCAGTCCACCTTCCACCTTGTCAAGATAATTCAAACAAGTCCAAACTCTTGTTGCTCAATTGAAATCTAGCAAATGGCAAGTTTGAGATGCAAGATTTGACTCTTATTAACACTGCAGCTATAGGTACTATGGCGACTTATGGCAACTTAGTCTAATGGTGGAGGTGGGTGGCGCAATGAAAAAACTGGTAGCACTCCTTAGTCTTGATTTATTTCTGATAAGAATTACAGTTAAGCACTTACAATAATTATACTACGATGCTCACCCTAAGCTGGTCTCGATCAGAAAAAAAGACTATTCACCAGCAAAACACGAACACGCGAATTCGAATAAGAAAAAGTAATAATTTAAAATATTAACGGCCAGCACTTGACCATAAACCGTCCGAAGAGTAAACCCTACCTATAGTAATGTGCTCGGACGTTACAGTACTAATAATATAGTGGAAATATTTAATTGTTTATTTGACTCAGAAACCACTGGATCAAATTTGGACTGGAAAAATTTCACATCATACGCGTTTAATCTAAAGCTGCAACAAAGTCGCGGGAACAGCTGGTATTGTATAAAAGCTTGGACAAAATTATAATGAAAACAGCGAAATATAAACATTAGAACGGACGGCCTTTATATTATTCTTTCTGGCAACCGTTACACATAGGACAAAGTAGATTGTAAACTGAACTGGACACTTGAACATCAATTATTTGTAAACGCCGGTGCATATTATTCATAGCAGATATATTTTAAATAATCTCATCACAAATTTTAAAATAACAGGTACATTCTGTTAAGGAAATCAAAGTGATGTTATGTATTTTATACTTCGTTGTTTGTGTTTCATCAAAAAAAAGGTATGTTCATTGCTGAAGATTTCCTAGAGACTACTTATTTAATAAACTAATTTATGAACGCGATGAAGTGAACATGTTTTTCACTATATGTAGGTATCTTTGACGTTACAGATTTGCAGATGCAGTCGACTCTTCGATCAACAATAGTCTACTGTATAAAATTCATTAAAAAGTATGTTTTATAATACGTACTTTTGCTAAGACTATATATTTTTAATACTTTTTCATATAAGTACCTAGTGTATCCTAAAGATGAGATTTGGATGAAAATTAGAGTTATGACGTAGATATATTCGACCTCAAAAAAACAGCGGCGGTACCATGAATTACTTCCGTGTTTTGGTCAAAAGTTTGGGACTCAAGAGAAAAATCTAAACTAGACCATTAAATTTTCATGGAAGAGGTGCAAGAAGAAATAAAAGCTCAATAGATAGACACATATAAATAAAATGAATTGGTTTTAACAGAAATTGATCTTTTTAGGAATTAATACATAAAAATACTAGATACGAGACATATTATAACGTCATGAGATAAACGCCAGTATAAAGAGATGATAAATTTCAGTTTTCGATTAAGAATGCAGCAAAATATTTTTCGGCGCCAAGAAGTAGTGTTTACTCAGAGTGTTATGAGAAAAAAAGAAGTAAACTAACTTCTGTAAACGCAAAAACTATGTTTTCTGTACTAAAATTTATCAATATCCTTTTTTTTTTAATTACGAAGAATATATTAAAATGCATTGAAATATTTACAAAATTGAGAATACAGAAAATGATTATCGACTAGTTCAGAAAATAATGATAGTTTAACAAATTAACTAAATAAAAGTAAATAGAGGTAAATCTGAGTGTTATTTTGATATTAGTTTTATAATAAGAGTCATAATCATTATCATCATCAGTCCTTTTATGTCCTTAATGCAGGGGCTCAGGCCTTTCTTATTTTGGATGGTTAAGGAGGATGGCCCATGACCCTCCACGCTGGCTCAATACGGATTGGAGGGTATTTACGTCTGCAAATGCAGTCGGGACTGATGGCTTAACGTGCCTTCCGAAGCATGGAGTAGCTCGAGTTAATAATTTTTTGGTCTCCCATCCCGTGACCCACCCTTGCGAAAGTAGCTTAACGACAACGATCGCGGGCCACGGCCCTTATCCACTACGCCACCGAGCTAAACTAAGAGTAATGTTATAATATAAAAGTTCACAATAAATACTAGAGCATTATCGCAAAAGATTACTACAAGCTTTTTGTTTAGTTCATCAATTTTCATTGTTCCGCCGCCGTTCACTTTTATGTACATACATGCATAAAATGAAACTTCCGTATCTCAAAATCTGACTAAAAGCTCTTCTTTATATTGAGTTCTGACGAAAAGCTGTCGGTAAAAGTCGCATTTTTGAATAGTATTAATTTAAAAATGTATAGAATTTATTCTTAAGTTCCCATGAAAACTTATAGTTTCTGCCATAGTGCAGGATCGTCGAGTATTTTATATGATCCGCATGAACACACGCGACCGTCATATCTGTCATTTTTATGAAGTACGTTGCTTCTTATCGTGTTCGCTAGAATGTACGACGAAATGTTCCTGTCGACATTTGGCTCCATTGATTGTTTATTTTAACGTTCTTTAAAATGCCGAATGCTATTTTTCCCAGATTAGTACCTTAACATGGTATGTGTGTTTGTGATGTGATATTTCAAATGGAAATATTCAAATCCTATCATATATTATCTTAGGTCTACTCACCGAATCATTAGGAGTCGTGACTACTTTTGCCATTTACTTCCTCCCAACGCATTTGGCCTAATGGTCGTCAGTGTAGATACGTGCAGATTCTCCATTACTTCCCCTCAACACAAAGGAAGGCAATGTTTTTAACAACCTCCTTGTTGACTCCTCGACTCATTCAGTTTCTGTCTGAAATGGTAATATCTTATTTTATTAGCCTTTGTGCTCTCGTTTTGGCGTTTACTAGTTTAGAATTCAGCTAGGTAAAACTTTTGGGTTACGGGGTACGAGTTGTTGGAAATTTAATTACTACTATTATTTAACTGGAGGTTATTTTGGTGCTTAAAAAAAACAAAAATCCTTTATAATAATATGAACAGTTTGAATCGTTACATTAACATATTATTCTATGTTATGTCTACGAATCTACACGAATTTTAGTAGATTCAATAGCAGTTTAGAGCATAATAAATGTGCGTTTCAACGGTTAACAAACATAATAATTCGACGTCGACACATTTCGTCGATATCTTGTTTATATTATGTATAGCTTGTTTTGTTTTGAGCTTGGATTGAAATCAACATTGGAATCGTTTATGTTAAAGTGTGACAATAAAATAGGTATAAACATTACGAATGTTTATATAATACGATAAAAGATGTTGGCGTCGTATTAGGCTTCGGAAAACCGTAAGGATGTGCATCATAATCCTATTAATATTATAAAGGCGAAAGTTTGTAAGTATGGATGTATGGATGTTTGTTACTCTTTCACGAAAAAACTACTGGACGGATTTGGATAAAACTTTACAGCAATATAGGTTATACATCAGAATAACACATAGGGTACTTTTTACTGGGAAAACTTCTCACTCCCACGGGATACCGACTTCCACGCGGACGAAGTCGCGGGCGTCCACTAGTGTATTATATAGGATAAATACTAAGAAGTATTTCTTTTATTACGTTCTGTATTTATCCTAGCAGTTT